TAATAATAATAATAATAATAATAATAATAATAATAATAATAATAATATAGGAAATACTAATGCTCTGATGGTCATTTCGAAAAATCCTTTCTTAATGAGCCCCTAGAAGCCAAGAGGAACATAGGTGCCAAATTTCAAGTTTGTAGGCTTTACAGTTCTAGAGATTTTGGGATGACGCGTGAGTGGCATTTCTCCTTTTATATATATAGATACGTTTACTCTATACTCACGTACAGTCCGATAGTGAAATTGCTTACAGTATATATTCTTACTTATATCTAGATACCTGTATTTATTTTGTTAATCTTTTTTTGTTTTGTTTATTTTGTTAATCTTCTTTTGTTATTAAGTTACTAGTCTCTGCACCTGTTATTTAACCATTTGTACAATACAGGTATCCTTAAGATGTACAGTAAACAGGTATTCTTAAGATGGGATGAAGTGTTGGGAATTTAATCAATACAAGTATTGTGTTTGTTGCTGGAGTGGTAAAGATTTATCAACTAGCAATAAAATGTTACTTGCTCTGCTTCTGCCGTTTCTTTACAGCTAATCTTTGTTTCATGTGTACGAACAGAAAAATGTACGTTGACTTCTGTTGTTCCATCAACAGATTTCTTGGGGTTTTTTGTTCTGTGTAAGCTGCTGTTTTATTTTATTTTTTGCAACAGCATGAAGTGTTAACTGCAATCTGTTGGAAATTCTGGTGGGTTTTTGTGTGTGTTTTTTTAGGGTATACAGGCTCAAACTGTAGCCAACTTTTACCTTGCATATGAAGCCCAGCTCTCAATCATTCCTGTTATAAATAAGGTAAGATTTCCGCATTCTCCACAGCCTCAGTTCATTTTAGATATTTTGCAAATCACACAGGCGGTCCTTGCGTTACGACAACAAACTGAGCTCAAGATTTCTGTGGTTAAGTGAGATAGTTGTTAAGTGAGTTTGGCCCCATTTTACGACTTCCCTTGCCACAGTTGTTAAGAGAATCACTGCAGTTGATAAGGAACTCACCGTCTCCTGGTGATTGGCCCAAAGTTACCCAACCAGTTTTCATGCTTAAGGCAGGACTAGAACTCACCGTCTCCTAGTGATTGGCCCATAGTCACCCAACCGGCTTTCGTGCTTAAGGCAGGACTAGAACTCACTGTCTCCTGGTGCTTGGCCCAAAGTTACCCAACCAGCTTTCATGCTTAAGGTGGGACTAGAACTCACTGTCTCCTAGTGATTGGCCCAAAGTCACCTAACCAGCTTTCGTGCCTAAGGCGGGACTAGAACTCACTGTCTGCTAGTGATTGGCCCAAAGTCACCCAACCGGCTTCTGTGCTTAAGGCGGGACTAGAACTCACCGTCTCCTAGTGATTGGCCCAAAGTCACCCAGCTGGCTTTCATGCCTAAGGCGGGACTAGAACTCCCCATCTCCTAATTTCTAGCCTGGTGCCTTAACCAAACTGGATTTTCTTTTTAAAATGAGGACTTATTTTAGGCACTTTCTAAGACTACACTTTTATTTGTCAAGCTATTTCACATATTTGCCCTAAATAATCCTCTTTGCCCTAAAAGATCCAGATGTTTATTCAGATTATTAGTAAAAAAAAATTAACAACAATAAATGCACAAATATCACCTCTAATAACAATGAATATGTTATCTTTTCTCATTTTCTGGCAATGGAATTCCCGCTTTGCTTCATGGTAGGGGCTGATCTAATTTGAATTAATATAACAGTATCATTATTTTGCAGATTGACCTCAAGAACGCAGATCCAGAGATGGTTGAAAATCAGATTGAGAACACCTTTGATATCCTCAAAGAAGATTGCATTAGAGTAAGAGCCCTTCTTAAGTTTACAAATAACTGTGGGTTAGTTTGGGTGCCTCAGAGCCATCCAAAATATGACCAGAAAGGGGATTTTTAAAAAATATAATGGTGGCATAATTAAAAATTAGACAGGGATACATAATGGAAAAACTATAATTCAATATAAATTTGTGAATTGCTATTAGAATTATATAATTTGTTAAACACTGCAAATCTTATTGTTAATATATTCTCTAAAGTAAAAGGAGTGACATCAAGAATATAGAGATTGACATAAAAATAACATATTGTAATATTGAATAATTAAGATTGATAATTTAACAAAATATGGGTATTAATATTAACTATCAACTGTATTAAATATGAAGAATATTGTCATATTTGTCTTAAAATGTAAGACACTCCAGAACCACACTGTTTACACAAGGGTATCTTTGTTGAAACAAAAAATTAAAAGAAATGTTGCCCCCACCCAAAAAAAAAGACCCATCCCTGAAATGAGGCCAAATTGCCTTTTTTTAAAAAAAAAAAATTAAATCTCATTTCAGATTTCAGCTAAACTTGGAACAAACGTTGAAAAAATCCTTCAGGCGGTGATTGAAAGGATTCCCCCGTAAGTTGGCTTTTCTGTCACATTTTCTCCATCACTTTGGACTTTTGAATAAAAACAGATAGTCCTCCAACTTAACAGCAGTTCATTTAGTGACCGTTCCAACTTTACAACAGCACTGGAAAAAGTGACTTAGCACACTTTAGCTGAAAATTCCTCTTTTGATAAGTGAGACATTGGTTAAGTGAGATTTGCCCTGCTTCATGACCTGTCTTCTTAAGATAGCTTCAGGGGTAGGATTCGAATGGTTCGGACCGGTTCGAGCGAACCGGTTGTTCCAGTGATCATTTGGCCCCGCCCATCCACCCCTGCCCTAGTCCAGTGGTGGCTAACCTTTTGGGGTTCCTGTGCCGAAAATTGCTTGTGCGCTTGTGTTTGTGCGCTCAGAAGGCAATGCGCGCTGCCCCCCATGCCCTCTGCGCATGTATGCATGATCCCACACACACTACCCCCTTACCTGCACTGCGCATGCGCGCACCTCCCAGATGATGATTTTCAGCCTCCCAGAGGCTCGAGGGAAGCCTCTGCAGTCTTTGGAGGCCGAAAAATGAACCCATTTCGTCACTTCCGGTATTTCTGGAAATACCGGAAGTGACAAAACAGGCCTGTTTTTCGGCCTCCAAAGGCTACAGAGGTTTCCCTCGAGCCTCTGGGAGGCCAAAAAAGGCCTCAAACGGGCCAAAAATCAGCTGGGAGGGAGCGCACATGAACAGTACAGGTAAGTTTGCCTGGGGCTCGCTTGCCTGCACAAATGGCTCTGCGTGCCACCTACGGTACGCATGCCATAGGTTTGCCATCATGGCCCTAGTCTATCCTATTTCCCTGTTTCACAGCTCAGCTGATTCGTGCAATTGTTGTGCCTCAGCTGTTTTACTCACCGGGCTGCAGTGGAAGGTAAGTATTAGAGCTGAAATGCTGAGTTTTCAAACATTGCACCTGCATGCAAATCACAAGCTCACCGAACCAGTTGTTGCACCGGTTGAATCCCACCCCTGGATACCTTGCTCAATAGTAGTAACTGTGAGAGGGATCTTGGAGTCCTAGTGGACAATCATTTAAATATGAGCCAGCCGTGTGCTGCAGCGGCCAAAAAAGCCAACATAGTTGTAGGCTGCATTAACAGAGGGATAGAATCAAGATCACCTGAAGTGTTAATACCACTTTATAAGGCCTTCCTAAGGCCACACTTGGAATAATGGATCCAGTTTTGATCGCCACGATGTAAAAAAAGATGTTGAGACTAGAAAGAATGCAGAGAAGAGCAACAAAGATGATGACTGGAGGCTAAAACATATGAAGAACAGTTGCAGGAACTAGGTATGTCTAGTTTAACGAAGAGAAGGACCAGGGGGGATATGACAGCAGTCTTCCACTATCTGAGGGGCTGCCCCAAAGAAGAGGGAGTCAAGCTATTCTCCAAAGCCCCTGAGGGCAGGAGAAGAAGCAATAAGGATGGAAACTCATCAAGGAGAGAAGCAACTTAGAACTAAGGAAAAATTTCCTGACAGTTAGAACAATTAACCAGTGGAACAACTTGCCTTCAGAAGTTGTCAATGCTCCAACACTGGAAGTTTTTAAGAAGAGATTGGACAGCCGTTTGTCTGAAATGGTATAGGGTTTCCTGCCTAGGAAGGGGGTTGGACTAGAAGACCTCCAAGATCCCTTCCAACTCTGTTATTCTCTTCTAAAGGGGATCACGTGACCCCAGGACACTGCAACTGTCATAAGTACATGCCAAGGGTCTGAATTTTGATCACATGAACCATGGGAATACCACAAAGGTCATAATTGGGGTAAATGGTGATAAGTCACATTTTTTCAGTGCCCTTCTAACTTTGAATGGTTGTAAACAAATTGTTTTAAGTCAGGACTACCTGTGTGCGTTCTTGTTGTTTTAAATGCTGTTGTAATCGGGTCTTTTCTTTGGGGGGGGCGGGAGGAGAAAACACTCGATTTCGAGCGATAGTTTTCTACAGGTGTTTTTTTTGGTGACACCTGTCACAGGCCCGTGATTGATATCCATGAGCCCTTGAAAGCCTTGGTCTTCGATTCGACCTTTGACACTTACCGAGGAGTGATCGCCAACATTGCACTGTTTAGTGGAGAAATCCACAAGGGCCACAAGATCACAACGTCTCACACTAAGAAGGTTTACGAAGTGAATGAAGTAGGAATTCTGACGCCCGATGAGCAGCCGACTGGTAAACTGTAAGTTTTGGAAAGCAAAAGAGAGAGAGAGAGAATGACTGAGAAGTCAGCACAGTTGACACTGTGTGTGTGTGTGTGTGTGTGTGTGTGTGTGTGTGAGAGAGAGAGAGAGAGAGAGAGAGAGAGAGAGAGAGAGAGAGAGAGAGAATATTATTGGAAGTAGCTTGATTTCTTATTCTTTTTTTGCAATTTTTTTTTATTTTTAATCACAAACATAAACAAACACAAAGCATGCAACATTAAATAAAATCTTCTTTCCCTTATACAGTGTGTGGGTTGGTACATATCTCTTGTGCACAATATCAACAGTCATTCCCTCTTAATTTTATATTACAGTTCATAATATATAAGACTACTATCCGCATAATATCATATTATTATTATTATCAGGTCGTTATCAGACTGTAATTGCAAGTTCACCTCATCCTTTTCGAGCAAGACTCAACTGTTATAAAACCTGTTCCCCTGTACTGCTATGTCTCAGAGGAACACGGTGGCTCAGTGGCTAAGACGCTGAGCTTGTCGATCGGAAAGGTCGGCGGTTTGGTGGTTCAAATCCCTAGTGCTGCATCATGGAGTGAGCTCCCACTCCATGTCCCAGCTTCTGCCAACCCAGAAGTTTGAAAGCATGTAAAAAAAAAATGCAAGTAGGAAAATAGGGACCCCTTTGGTGGGAAGGGAACAGCGTTCCGTGAGCCTTCGAAGGCGTTGAGTCATGCCGGCCACATGACCACGGAGACGTCTTTGGACAGCGCTGGCTCTTTGGCTTTGCAACGGAGATGAGCACTGGTGCCCCCTAGAGCCAGAAACGAGTAGCACGCATGTACGAGGAGAACCTTTACCTTACTGCTGTCCTTGTGTCTAGTAGATAAAACCAGATTATGGGATTCTAGAACATCTTCACCTTCTTCATAAATTAGAACAGAATAGAATTCTTGATTGGCCAAGTGTGATTGGTCACACAAGGAATTTGTCTTGGTGTAAATACTTTCATTATCTATAAAAGAAAAGATACATTTGTCAAGAGCCGAGAATCATAAGGTATGACACTTCATGATAGGAAGAACAAAAGAATGAACAAGAGTTGGAAGGGACTGTGTCCAACTCCCTACTGGGGGAAATCTGGCCTCCCACTGCTCAGGAACTCCCTTTCCCATTTCAGACAAAAATGGTTGCCCAATCTCGTCTTAAAAACACCCACAGACTTTGTGTGTCCCAGTTGGCACAACAATCTTTCGTAGCATTCTACACAGTTGATGCCACCCGATTCTGCTGTCCGCCTTCATGCAATATCGTAAAAACTTTCATTTAGATACGCCGGCCAGGTTGGCTATATGATTGCTGGGATGAGAGAGATTATGGATGCCCAAATAGGAGATACGGTCTATTTGCAGAACCAGCCAGTGGAACCGTTCCCTGGGTTTAAATCCGCAAAACCCATGGTCTTTGCAGGTGAGGAGGGCACCGGTCGAATGATTTGGGGTTGGGGGGGAGTGTTTAAGAGAGGGGGAAGGGAGAGAGAAATATGGAGGGGGAGAGGGAAGGGGAGAGAGAGAGATGAAGGGGGAGAGGGGGAAGGAAAGGGAGAAAGGGAGAGAGAGAAAGGGAGGGAGGGAGAGAGGGTAGGGGAAGGAGGTAGAGATATGGAGGGAGAGAAAGGGAGGGAGGGAGAGAGAAAAATATGGAGGGAGAAGGACGGGAAGGAGAGAGAAAGGGAGGGAGAGAGGGAGGGAGAGGGAGGGAGAAAAATATGGAGGGAGAGGGAAGAGGAAGGAGAGAAAGGGAGGGGGAGGGAGGGAGAGGGAAGAGAAGGAGAGGGAGAGAAATGGAGGGAGAAAGAGGAAGGGAGAAAAATATGGAGGGAGAGGGAGGGGGAAGGAGAGGAGAGGGGGAGAGAAATGGTGGGAGAGGGATATAGGAAGGGAGGGAGGGGGGAAGGAGAGGGAGAGAGATGGAGCATTTAAATTTCAATTAACATTTCAAAATGTCAATATTGTGCACTGCCCAGAGTCCCCTTCTCTGCAAGGACATGAGCAGTTCTGATGATGGATGGATGGATGGAGATATAGATGAATAGAGATAGAAATTTATAGATATAGAGATATATAGAGATATATATGAATAGATATGGATGGATGGTTGGATAGATAGTGGTGGATGAATGGATGGAGAGATGGATAGAGATATAGATGAAT